TTGGCAGCTACGGGTTGTACTGTGATAGCCGATTTGTTCCGCAGAGTTAAGTAGGAAATCTTTTGAATCAGAAAGTATTCTGTACTTTGAAAATGTCATTAGAAGTGTGGAAAAGGTCACATTTTGAGATGGATGACATAAAGATCAGTCATTCTCGGCCGGGTGAGCAGAATTCAATCGGGAAGTGAGCCTTTAAAAGTTCTGCCAGCACTTTCATATGCAAATCTGAGATTCACAATGCCTGTAAAAGCAAAAATAACTTTTTATGTGCACAATTATTTCCCCAAATAATTAAAGCCATTATTTAGACATTATGATGATTGAAATAAATATAAAACTCTAAAGAGAGGAAAAGTGGAAGAAAGACGGCGCTTGCCGTGTGGAGAGGGGACTCAGCCAGGGGTCCTGGTCGCTGTCCCTCCAGCCAAGTGTAGAGGGTGCAGTTAGGTTATTTAGCCAATATTATTTAAGTTAAAAAAATTTAAAAAAAGTCTTTATTGATTTTAGAAAGAGAAAGGGAGAGGGAGAGAGAGAAACATCACTGATGAGAGAATCATTGATCGGCTGCCTCCTGCACGCCCCCGACCGGGGATCGAGCCCACAACCCTGGCCTGTGCCCCGACCGGGAACTGAACTGCGATCACCTGGATCCTAGGTCGATGCTCAACCACTGAGCCACACCGGCCGGGCTTAAGTAAAAATTTTAACACCATTTTATCTGAAATACACATGGAGCCTGTATGACATCAGACTGAATGGATTTAATGACTAAATGGTGTTTCCTCTCTCTCTCTCTATATATATCAAATGACAGATTGCCTTTTAAATACCTTACTTTTTGATGATCAGATATCATCCACATCTGGGAGGGGTGAGTGCCTGTGATATGTAATGATACCAATTCTCCAAGTAAAGCCGCTACGGACGGTGACATTTGCTGTAACGCGACACTTTGCCACCGGAACGAAGGAGGCCGGGGTGGAAGTGCTGATAACACTCTTTCCAAATACCATCAGCTCCAGAGTCCTGCACCACCGCTTCCTTCACAAGCAGGACTTAAATAAATCTATTTAACGACCCTGTGCACTCTCTNGCTTTCTTCACAAGCAGGACTTAAATAAATCTATTTAACGACCCTGTCCCTCGAGGAACACCCGTCCTGCCCGCTGTAATCGGCAATTACTTCCCTCCCCCCAGGAGGATGCTCCGCGGGAGAAAGAAAGTGGTTTCCGTGGCAATCAGCCCCGCCGCTGCGAGCACTTTACGTTGGAATCGAAGGCCCGAGGAAGGCTGAGCTTGATGATCCCACTGGATTTCATTATCGAAGAGCCGCGAATTCTTGCGTCTGAGACAGCGCCGCCGAAAGAGGCACATACGTGATCGATTACCCAATTTATTGCTGATAATGTGTATGCCACGGAGCGCGGTTTAAATGATCTTGACGGGCAGGGAGGAGCGCCACCCGCAGGTGCAGCGGTGAACACCCCGTGAAGCTTTCTCCGGTTCTCACTGCGTTTGGCTGAGTGGCTGATAAATTAAAATGACAATTGTAGCATCAGAAGCTCTGAGCACCCGCCAGAGAAGCTGCCTGGGGGGCCTCGGAAAATAACACCAGCACAGTGGCTAAAGGAGTCATTAATTCTGTGATGGCACTTGTCTGAGTCTAAAAAATAAGAAATGGATTTTTAGAGGGTGAGATTGGCTCTATCCCCGTAGCCCTGTTTCCCTGGAGACCCGAGGAAATTGAAACCACACCATCAAAAGACAGGCCCCGCATAGGCCACTGGCGACTCCATGGTGTCAGGCGGGTGTTCAAAGCTCAGGGACAGTTTCTTGTTACCCTTCCCGTAGTTTTGACGCTACACCTGGATTTCAGCGTGTCCCCCGGTCACCTGTGATCCCACCAAGTTCAGTTGAGAGCCCCTAAGACATCACCCCTCGCTCGTGGGTTCTGAGAGTCCTAGAGAAATGATATTTTCATCAGGCATTTTCTTTGTTCCTTTTTTTTACAAATCTTATTTTTTTGTTGACAAATGAAAACTGTATATACTTAAGATGTACAATGTGATGTTTTCATATACGCGCATGTTGTGAAATGATTTCCACAGTCAAGCTAATTATGCTATCCATCACCTCACATAGTTCCTTCCTTAGGGTGAGTACACTTCAGATCCACTTTTTACAGAAGCGAATTTCAAGTATACAATCCAGAGTTGTTCACGACAGTCGCCATGCCCTCCAGGAGTTCCCAGGACTCACTCATCCCGGTAACTGAAGCCCTGTCTCCCCAGTTCCCCCACCTCCCTGGCAGCCACTGTTTCACTCTCTGGCTCCGAGCTCAGCTCCTCCAGCTTCCGCATCGAGTGGGATCCTGCAGCGTTTGTCTTTCTGTGTCTGGCGCCCGACTTATGTCATTTACCGCCCTCCAGGCTCATCCAGGCCATCACAAATGGCAGGATTCCCTTCTTTGTAAAGGCTGAGTAATATTCCATCATATCCACATAGTGTCCACGCCCTGTGGTGTGGACTGAGCAGAAGAGGTCTCAGGCATCAGGAGGTGGGCCGGGCCGGGCTGGGGTGAGCTCACTCGCGGAGCCAGCGCCTCAACAGAGATCGACGCAGTGACCAGGATTTGTATCCTGAGTGCGCTTTTGAAATCCTCAGCCAAGCTTGAAAAAGAATATATTCTGAGCGGTATCAATATCATTTTTAAATTAGTCTGAGCTATTTAAATTATTCTACTACAGCGAAAAAGTCTGAAAAAGGTTTCTATCCATGCGATAAATAATCATTCTGATAATAAAGCCGCTCATGCAAAAATTCACCCACTGAAAACCTGGCCCGAATCAGAGTTTCAGTTCCAAATGCAGCCGATTCATATGCAAAGTCTTCCCTTAAAAAGGTCAACTTCACGCTGGAGAGGTAGGAAGAAATAATTCAGGTGGGAGATTTCCTTTCGTGCCTCGAGGGTGGTTTTAAAGGGGCTCAGCGTCTGCGAGGGTCCCTGTGCTTGAGGACTCGCGTTCTGTCCCAACACGGACTTTGACATCCCGACTCTCAGGTGTCCACGGAGCAGGAACTTCCTGCTCCGTTCCTCTGTGCTGTTCATGGAAAAGCTGTGAAAACCGTTTTCAGGGCAAAACTGGTTCTAGATGAAGACTTAGATCTTAGAATCTTAACTGAATGATCACTCAGTTCTATTTTTTCCATTGCTTTTTAGAGAGAATGGAAGGGAGGGAGGGAAGGAGAGAGAGAGAGAAACGTTGGTGTGAGAGAGGCACTTTGATTGGCTGCCTCCCATATGCGGGGATCGAACCTGCGACCGAGGTACGCGCCCTTGACCAGACTGAACCCAAGACTCTTCAGTCCGTGGACCGATGCTCTAACCACTGAACCAAACAGGCCAGGGCTCTAAGTCATACCTAAGTCATGTCTAAGTCATACCTAAGTCATTTCTAAGTCATACCTAATTCATGTCTAAGTCACGTCTAAGTCATGTCTAAGTCATGCCTAAGTCACGTCTAAGTCATACCTTAACCCGCCAGGTCAGTTTTCCCCTTTTGAGTATTTGCTGAGTTAGAAATCTTTCTTCTTTGCAAACTTTTTCTCAGGGCTCCACTACTGAGTTCCGAACTCCGATGAGTTTGGAACAAAGGTTGGGGAGGGTGTGCGATAGAAAATGACTTTGCTTCAGAGAAGTGGGAGGCCAGGGCCGCCGAAGGCGCACTCCGCGAGGCGTGGAAGGAGCGATTCCCCCCCGACTCGAGGCAGGACGCGCGCACCCCGAATAAAGGTCTCTCAGGCTTAACGGTCTTGAACAGCAGCAGCTGCTGACCAGCGGAGCAAAGAGGCTGCTCCAGCGAGTCCTCTGGACAGACCCGCTCGCCCTGTCGCTTTTCATGAAGTCGTCCAGTAAATCACGGGCTCCATTTCCTTCCCCTGCCTCCCACACTGTTGTTCTGACTCCTGAGATTCAAGCGGCTTCCGAGACGCCTCGATGAGCAGCAGGAGGGGGGGAACCGTGGTGCTCAGAGCGACAGAAATATCCAAAGGCCACGGACAAAGTCATGAAAGGAACTGATGTGATCACTCGCAAATCTAACCCATCGAGTTCTGGTCACCGAGCGTGAGAACGGCGGCCGCCTGGATGGGACGGTTTTTCATCAAACCCTGCGAGGCTCCCTCAAAGCCACACATCACGTCTTCCGACACCTCCTGAGACTTGGCGACATCGACCGTAACGCCAAGAGAAGTCCTCCCACCGGGCGTTTTAACATATTAGTCAAAGGATCATCGGAGAGAACCATTAAAAAACAATTTCGCTCATTTTTATTAGTTCTAAATGCCTGAAAATCATCCATGTGTTCTTGTCAACATCATTAATATTATTATTTTACTATTTTATTGATTTTTTTAGAGAGGGAGGAAGGGAGAGAAACATTGATGCCAGAGAGCAAAGTGTCTATCGGCCGCCTCCTGCATGCCCCCGACTGGGGATCGAGCCCGCAACCCGGGCCTGTGCCCTGACGGGAATCGAACCGGCAGCCTTTCAGTGCCCAGGGAGACGCTCAGCCGGGTGGCACCGGCCAGAGCAACAACATGCTATTAACAGATTAAGTATCGGGGGAATTTTTAGAACCAACCTGAGCACGTTTAAGTGATGAGACTACAGATAATTACGGCCCACCCTGTTTGGAGTTTATTGAGGACACAGGATTTCATGCTCCCTCATCAGCTGAATTTCTGAGGTCACCACGCAGCGCGGGGTGCGTTTTACTTAAGTCTTTACGAAACGTAGAAGGCGAGGTGTGCAGGAACGATGGGCCCAAGGACACATTATGACTGAATATGGGGTCAAATGAGTGAAATACCATCTCAGTAAATACCATCTCAGTAAACCTCGCTAATTTAACCTGAAATACCATCTCAGTAAACCTCGCTAATTTAAATCAAAAGTTGATTGAAGAATTGAGACTTAAAATATTTAGACATATACTCACCCAACCGATAGGAACGGCTCCTTTGACTCAAGTCTGTGGAAAAAAAAAAAGTTTATTTTAATATAACAACATGCTCTACATTTAAAGTTGCTTCTGTAGAAATCTGATGGAATTATGATACTTGTTGGGATGAAAATGCACAAATTAGCACCAGTAAAGAGCTATAAATATTAACACCTAACCTGGACTAATTCCAATTCTAGCTCCATCACTGGAGGGGCTAAAAAAAAGNAACAACATGCTCTACATTTAAAGTTGCTTCTGTAGAAATCTGATGGAATTATGATACTTGTTGGGATGAAAATGCACAAATTAGCACCAGTAAAGAGCTATAAATATTAACACCTAACCTGGACTAATTCCAATTCTAGCTCCATCACTGGAGAGGCTAAAAAAAAGAAAAAAAAATAACAAAATAAAGGATAAAAAGAAATATCAGGAGGCAAATATAAAAAAATAAGTAAAATAAAATTAGTAAACCACAAAACAAACAAACAAACCAACCATTCTGGCCTTACTTTTCTCATCACAACATAGGCTAGTATTGCATCCAGCAAATTTTCCTCCATCTTAAATTAACTATATATTCTTTGCAAAAGGTAAGGCAATCAGAAAAGTACCCCTTCTCAATATTTCCTAATTTATAACTAAGGCGACCCGTTGGTGGGTGCATCTTGGCCGCTTTATTTTCATTAAGCTTCTTATCACATGATTGATTATAGGTTAAATGCAGGCAAGTGTTGAAGACGTTTTCATCTAAATCCGGGTGCTTAACATTTTTTAAAAAGGCTTCTTGTTTTAAAATGTTTTAATTACATGTATGTCGCCATCTTTCTCGACAATTTCAATAACCATAAGATGACGCCCGAGGATATGTTTATTGATATTTTTAGAGAGAGAGAAGCATCAATCAGTTGCCTCCCATGGGCTCCCCACCCGGGGACGGAGCCCGCAGCCTTCTGGTGTCCGGGGAACGACACTCCAACCAACCGACCCGCCAGGGCTTTCCGTGTGGTTTTTTATCGCTTTTCTCACCAACCACTTTACTGCAGGCAACTTGACTACTTACAAACAAATTCGGTTTAGCTCGGCCTTGCTGCCTTTAGACCACTTCTGCGCTGTGCTGACTTTCCTTCCTTCCCCACGCACGGTCTGTTACCTTTGAGTCTCCTAACGCCTCTGTAAAGCCCGTCGTGACGCCTTCCTCTTACGGGACAGTCCTGTCCCTGCTTCTGTACTTCTATCTGTCACCGTGACAGTCTCAGGACAAAGCCCTGGGCTGCAAGGCGGGGGGTNACGGGACAGTCCTGTCCCTGCTTCTGTACTTCTATCTGTCACCGTGACAGTCTCAGGACAAAGTCCTGGGCTGCAAGGCGGGGGGTTCATTGAGCCTGGTAACAACCTTCACGGGCCGCCTGCTCAGACAAGAGCACCTGGCCGTTCTGTTGAGCCCCCCAAGGGGCCCAGGTGGGGAGCTTTGCTGCTGCTCCGCGAGCCGAGGCAGCTGTCCCCGGAGACAGGCCCGGGTGCCAGGGCTCCCCAGCATTTTCAGAGGTGACGTGGAGCAGGAAATCTGGGTGGGGAGCCACCACCGGGCCACCCTGCCTCATGTCTCATCCTCAGAGTGGTGACCAGTGACCCCCAGCGAGCGATGCTCCGCTTTGTAACCAAGCTCAGCCGCCGTTCATCTCATGGGGTCGGCCCCCAGCCTTGCGATGACCCAGAGATCCTCATGCTTCTCTCATTCATCACGTAGCAAACGTCACGGCCGGCTCAGGGCTGCAGCGAAGAGCACGAGGTGAGGCCTGGCCGGTTCGCTCAGTGGTTAGAGCATCGGCCTGTGGACTGAAGGGTCCTGGGTTCGATTCCAGCCAAGGGCACACAGCTTGGTCGCAGGCTCGATCCTGTGCCCCAGTTGGGGCGCGTGTGGGAGGCAAACCATCGATGTGTTTCTCTCACATCAATGTTTCTCTCTCTCTCCCCCTCCCACTCTCTCTGAAAAGCAATGGAAAAAATATCCTCGGGTGTGGGTTAAGAAAAAACAAAAAAGAACATGAGATTATGGACTTAAAGCAACTCGCAGGGTTCTGGGCACACAGCAGCCCCGGGCGGCCACAGCGACGCCAAAGACGGGCCATCACTCTAAGGGCCCAAGGGCCTGGGATACAGGAAAAACTCACTTTTGTCACTTTAGTCCAGAAAGTGAAAAGACTCAGTAAAAGAAGGAAAGTGCTGGGAGAAACATCCCCTGGGGGACACTGTTCGTCAATTTAAGCCTTAGAAAGATGATTACACCGCAGTTCGCCCGAGACAACGTCTCTGGGCTTTTTTTATAAGGTAATTGTTTTGTGAAGAAAATAATTGATTTTATCTTTCTTAAGATTTACTTTGAACAGGAAATAGGTAGTGAATTTAATAATACTTCATTCGGGATCCGGTGGAATTATGAGCAGAATAAGATAAACTATAACCCTCCAAAAAAAAACAACAGGCGCAGTAGAGAAATGAAACGGAATGCAAAATTAAAATCAATATTTGGGGCTAAAGGATTCAGAACATTTTGTATTTAACAACAACAAAAAACAGCTGCATTTATCGACGGCCTGGTAGTGCTCAAAATGCGTTATAAATGTTGATTTATTTCAGCATCATGAAAGCCTCGGAGCAGGATGCATTTTACAGTTGAGGAAACTGATACCCAGAGATGCTAGTGTCCTTCCCAAGGTCACCGAGCTACAAGGTGGTGGAGGCAGGACTTGAACTAGGCCCTCAGGCCCCAAAGCTCATGGGCTCGCGTCTCTCACGGTACCTCACGTCGCCCCGGCTTAGTTTTATGGCCGCATCCCCGATGGCACTGCCACATGTCCTCGTTGTTTTTAAATTCTTCTGAGAGATCTTATCTGATTCCCAGTTCTGTCGACGTTCCGGATGTTCCCAAACGCCCGGCTCTGGCATCACCCCATTTATGACGTGTGGCTACGTCTGCCCAGCTGAGGCCTCCTATGGTAGGCGCCTTTAACTCAACAAGCACCAACTCAATTCCGTGCCGCCCGCCCGCCCTCATCCTTTCCCTCTTCACCCCTAACTCAGGGGCATCACTGGCCACGCGGGTGCCCGAGCTGGAAACGGGAGACGCTTCTCATTCACCAACTGGGCAACAGCTCTCGGTGCAGCAGCCCCTCCCAGGAACGGTTCCTATGGCCAAGGCCTCTGCATTCTGGTCGCAGCTCAGCTGTGGTCATCGCAGTCCACGGGGTCATCAACTTTCTTTTCTATTTATTTTTTATTTTATAAATATGTTCTTATTGATTTTTTGAGAGAGAGAGGAAGGGAGAGGTAGATAGATACAAACATCGGTGAGAGAGAAACATCGATCAGCTGCCTCCTGCATGCCCCCTACTGGGGACGGAGCCACAACCCGCTCATGTACCCGCCAGGAATCGAACCGGCGACCTCTTGGTTCATGGGTTGACTGTCAACCACTGCACAACACGGGCCGGGCCGATCATCAACTTCCATGAGGGCTGTTAGAGCCACCTCCCCAGCGACCCCCCTTCTGCAGTGTTTCCTGAAGCAGCCGTATCTCCCAGCAGAACCGTCAGTCCGCGATGGTGGTCAGGTTACGGTGTTAATCTGTCTGTGCGTCGCGTAAGCATTTCTTCAAACATTTTAAATCAAAAGGTTTATAAATTACATTTGCTCAGTGTGAAATATGAATGACAGGCTATAAGTAAACATAATATTAAAAAAGCTTCTTCTTTAGGCAATTATAGGAAATGTTAACCTGTTTAGTTAACTGTGTGAGTTTTAGCAACATTATCATAGCTCAAGGCTCATTTAAAATAACTTCTTTAAATATTTTATTATAGACCCTTTTCTTTGAATACTCATAAGAATGAGAACAGCTAAATTGCAGAGCATCTGTAACAGATCCAGGCTCCTCAAATATATCACCTTTCAGGAACGCTCTTCCTTCAGGAGCCAGGCCTAACAAACACTTTTTCCACCAAACATACTCATATAAGATATTTTCACAATTATAACCCCCCCAAAAGGGAGCGCATGGGCCATTTCTGCTTCAACAGGAGTTCACATTCTCTTGGGAAGTGTGCACTAAGGAGAACTCACCCTCAGTTACCCAGATGGATGGATATTCAGCTTTGAGTGTTAGAAGTGGACTGTTTTTTTGTATTTTCTTTTGCAGATATTGGCAGTCACACTTTTCCATGACTGTAATTTGGTTGGAAAGATTGGATCAGAAGCAAAAAGAGACTGTGGTTGCTACACAGACCCTGCAATAATCTACTTTGTTTTTATTTTATTTTTATTTTATTTTCTGTGCAATCTTGAGAAAGAAGAACAAAGTTAGAGGTATCTCACTACCTGATGTCAAACTATACTGCAAGGCCATAGTCATCAAAACAGCACAGTGCTGCCCAGTAAGCGGGGCTCAGCGGTTGAGCATCGACCCAGGATCCAGGTGATCGAGGTTCGATTTCCGGTCAGGGCACATGCCCAGGTTTCAGGCTCGATCCCCAGCAGGGGCATCATGCAGGAGGCAGCCGACCAACGGCTCTCTCATCATTGATGTTTCTATCTCTCTCTCCCTCTCTCTGAAATCAATAAAAAATAAAAACAATAAAAACAAACAAACAAAAACCACACAAAAACCCCCAGCATGATACTGGCATAAAAACAGACACATAGATCAATGTAACAGAACAGAGATCCCAGAAATAAACCCACACGTATATGGTCAACTAATCTATGACAAAGGAGGCAAGAACACACAATGAAGTAAAGATGGTCTCTTCAATAAATGGTGCTGGGAAAATAGGGCAGATACATGCAAAAAAATGAAACTAGACCACTTCTTACACCATATACAAGAATAAACTCAAAATAGATTAAAGACTTAAATGTAAGACTCAAAACCATAAAACTCCTAGGAGATTGTCCAGTAAACACTTTGACTGGACACTCTTAGTAATACTTTTTCCTTTGGAAATCCCTGCTTGGGTGAGGGGAAGCAGAAAGCGCCCCTGTGCGAGCTGCTGGCCCGTTCACACTCCCTACACCACTGGGTGCTTTCACCTCGACTATTCAGTGTCACCCTAGTGGGAACATTGCAGCCCTGGCCCGCTAGCTCCGTGGGTTAGAGCATCGCCCTGATTCGCCAGGGTTGTGGGTTTGATCCCCGGTCAGGTCACAGCTGGAACCAGTCAATGATGCCCAGAGAAGTGGAAGAACAAATCGATGTCTCTCTCTCTCAAGTCAATCAATAAACACGAAGAAGAAAATCAGCTGTAGGGAAATTGCACAATTACGTTAGAACAGAGGCAGGGAACCTTTTTACTGCCAAGGGCCATTTGGATACTTAGAACACCATTCACGGGGCAAAATGGTCAACTTCAAAGTTAGCTATGAAAAAGGCTCCTGGGTTTATTGAATTTTGAGTCCCGCTGGAGGTTCCCTTGGCAGGGCCGGACCACATGGTTTCTCGAGCCGTAAATGGCTCAGGGGCCAGATGTTCCCCATCCCTGTGTTAGAAGAACTTGAAGCTCAAACCTAATCTCTACGGCCACACGAGGAGGTGGTAACACGTTTGTGGGTGACATACAGTGACGTCATGGAGAGAAACAGAATTGACGGTGCTGGAGGGCAGGGATCTCTGCTTTTCCAAATAGAATCGACTGTGGGTGCTGGAGGGCAGGACTCTCTGCTTTTCCTAACTGTGCCGTCTGGACGGCACCAGGTGGGGAGATAGCCGTCAGCTGGTGGCGAGATCCCCAGACTTCACGGCTACCAGCCGGAGCGCAGTCCCTCGTCTCCTTACCTGATCCAGGCAGGTCCTTTATGGTCTGGGAGCTTGCTTTTCCCACCTGTAAGGCCAGGCGCACAGCACCGACCTGGGGCTCGGTGGGGACAGAGGAGGGCTGGCCGCGCAAACACAGAAGGGAGGCCCACCCAGAGGGAGGCGGGCGTCATCATCAAGCGTGTGTAAGGACGCCAGGGAGCCTGAAAGGCTTTCTCGGGGCCAGGGGCTCGCTCTCTTTGTTCCCTCTGGGCCGCCGGCAGCCTCAGCCCGTCCCACCTTCACTGGTGTAAGCAGATGAGACCGGCATCACCGCGCGTTTCCCGCTGCGGCGGCTTGGGTGCCGTAACGTCACGTTGCCGTGAACTTCTGCTTCTCGTTCTTCTGAATTCACGATTCAGCGTGACCGAGCCTTAGGGAAACAACAGCTACAAAGGCATTTGTTTCTCCTCGCAGGCGTCTATTCTCCTGAGCAAATCAAATCACTCCAAGAACTGGGAGAGCAGGAAGACAAATGTCACTGCACCGATAGCGGCGACTCCGGCAAGAAAGCCGGCCACCGGCTGCATTTTAATAACTGAAATATCGGCGTTTCCAACGTCCTGCCTTAGCTGCGGCCCTGTGCGTCCGCTGACAAACGAACCTCCTCAGAAAACAATTTGCATTTCTCAGTTGTATGACTGTGTCCTTAGGTTGGCGATGTCACCTGCTGCCTTTCACATCAGCACTGCCCTGTGGCCAGTAATTAACATTTGTTAAGTCGTTTAGCTTTCCATTTTTTAATAAAATCTTTTCAGTTAAAATTAAATAAATTCACACAACCAGAACACTAAGGTCCATCAAGATACACTCCCGGTACGTCTTTCCGGGTCTCCGACGGCGGGTCCTTCGAGAGCAGCGGGGCGGCAGGTGCCGGCAGGGCCTCAGAAGTCGCCCAGTTCTGACCCTTGTATTGTACGCAGCTGGGGAAATGGGGCCGTGAGTGGCTGAAGAAGGAACAAAGACCAGGACGGAGCTGCCGGCCGCCTTTCGAGGGCCCTCGACTGTGCCAGCTAACGCACCGTGACAACTACAGCTCAATTCCCCTTTATCCAGATGGCATCAGGGAAGAGGGAGCCTGTTCAACGCTGCGCTGGCTGGTCGGGCGCGGACACCGACGGAGCGGCGACAGGAACCGAGAGGGGCCCACATCCATTAGCACGACGGGCGATCTGGGCCGCCCGGGACGGCGGCCCGCGTNACAGGAACCGAGAGGGGCCCACATCCATTAGCACGACGGGCGATCTGGGCCCCCCAGCAGGGCGCCGCGCGGAGAGAGAAGCAGCCTCGGCGCTGACCGAGCGAAGCCGACTCTTCACAGGCTACGCGTTTTGCCTCTTAAAGTTGGTGGACATTTTCTCCGCTCCCTGCCCCAGCCCGGTGCCCACTCACTCACCTGTAAAGTGCAGAAAGGGGCCTCTTGTTTCCAGGTTTGGGTCTGTAGGGTTTGGGTTCTCCGGCCATGTTGATATCTGGAAGCACAAGATAAAAACACCACGGTTAAGAAACCGCGAAACCACCTGAGGACAGTGAACCGGGACGTTCTATGTTTCTTCCCACCATTGCTCTGTGCACACGTCACACGCCGTTCGTTTATTCAACAGGTAGTTTCTGAGCACCGAGGGCGGGCCAGGCCCACGTGCTGAACAGGCCGGGCCCACGCCCCTGTGGGAATCAGCTTCTCCTGGGGAAACAGGCGGCAGGCAGCAGACGTAACGGGTGAGAAGAACGCGTGACGTGTCGGGAGGTGAGCGCCAGAATGAAAAAAGAAAACACTGAACAAGGCGGGGGGATGAGGGACGCCGGCTAAACATGAAGAGACGGAAAGAGAAGAGAGAGGAGACAGGAGAGAGGAGAGAGAGAGAGAGAGAAATATTTTTTAATATGTTTTTATTGATTTCAGAGAGAGGAGGGGAGAGGGAGAGAGAGAAACATCAATGATGAGAGTCACCGATCGGCTGCCTCCCGCACGCCCCCGACTGGGGATGGAGCCCAAAACCCGGGCCTGTGCCCTGACCGGGAGTCGAACCCCGACCTCCTGGTTCATGGGTTGACTCTCAACCACTGAGCCACACCGGCCGGGCAACTAATGTGATTTTTTTTTTTTTTTAGATGGAGAAAAATTAAAAGAAGAAGAAATTTTCCAAGCAAATTAGTGAAAAGTAATATCGTTATTTGTGGGATATTTTTGTTTTGTTCCCTTCCCCGGGATTAAATAAAAGTTTAAATAGTTTAGCGACGGCATAGAGACTGCCAGGAAAAGCCATTCAGAGTCTTTATTGCTCGCATTTGGAAGATTTAGGGATCCGTTCCTGTTCCATTGAATAAAAATTCAGGAGATAAAGGAAACAGTCTGTTCAGTTTGACAAGCGAAGGCATGAAACCATACATCCCCCGGATATGGGCACCGCACCATCACGACCGGCTTCACAGTTATTACGAGTTTAGAACCTCCGAGCAATCCCGTGAAATAAGCGTTATCCCCACGTCACGTGTGTGGATGCTCGAGAGACTGGGAAACCAAACGGTTCCCACAATAACATCATCAGCTCGGGTCAGGGCGACTGTCTTTGTTACTGAGCTCGGTCCATTGCCAGGCACTGAACTAGTGGGACAGAGGGGGGTGTCCCTGCCCCGGGACAGGGGACAGTCTGAACCTCGACAGCCCAGAACCACAGCCCCCCGGACTCAGGCTAGAGCTTTCCCTACCGTCTCCTGCCTCTTTACCTGATTTGGATGTTACGTTTTTCTCTGCCACTCACGCCTGGCCCGGCTGGGGAAAGCGTCGGGGAAAAGTCATGGACTCTGGGGGCCCAGGAGTCTTGGCATCGCGGAGGCTGTGCCGTGGAAGGGGTGCTGTGGGGGACTGTCCGGCAGCCCTGGGGGAAAAGCATCCGACTCCCAGCTCTTCCTCCTTGGCCAGGTGGGTTCACACCCTGTGGTCAGGCGGGGCTGCCTGGATGCTCTTCCCCCAAAGACAGGACGCCCCAGTCTTGCAAATGCGAGCCCAGCCCACCGGGTGCTCTAAAGCGGGAATACTGGAGGGAGTCTGTGCCTGAAGCCGAGCGAGAGCAGAGCCAATTTTGTACAAAAGCGAATGGCTCTCTCAGCCTGTTGTTTTCCCCTCTGCAGAGTCAAAGCTAGCTCCGGCGTCTGCAATACGCCCGTAATGGTATGTTAAAATATTCACGGCTACGGGACTGCAACTGTAGTCTCATTTTACTGGGCAGCCACTGAGTTGTGACCATTTTAATGAGCGTTTGGACCTAGTTTCATAAATTAGTTCTGACACAGCACTACGGCCGCTGGCCTTGGTTATTAGAATGCTAATGCCAGGGTCGCTGGTGGGCCCGACTCGAATTTGTTACCACAAAATGCTCTGTGCTCCCTCCAGGGCTCTGTCTGCAAGGGCAAGTAAAAGTGGAAACTCGAACGTCCTGCGGATTACCTGGCAGGCTGACCATTGTCTGCACCTGCTTCCTCCCGGACGGAAACGAGGGTGGAGAAAGTGCGCACCTGTCCACACTTCCAGGGACTCACATCAGCAAAGTCGGCAGAAGCCTCGGCTCTCTCTGTTGAGCTACAGACGCCTGTTTCTTTTCTTATGTCGGTTTTATTTTCCCCCCATCGAAACTCCCGCTCCCTAATTGTCAAAACACCTTCGACTGGCCTTGAGGCGTAAATGGCCGTGAAACCTGGTAAAACTCTGGCTTTGGTGCAGAGTTAGTCAAAGTCTAGTTGAAAGAGACTCAGCAGAGAGCGCGCACCTTCCCGCAGGTAGAAGGCCAACCCCGAGTGGAGACAATTGTCAAATGTGACTTAATTCCTATAACTTTCTACTTACAGCTTCTTTCCCCCAACACTTTGTCTCTCACGTGGGATAATTTTTTTGAAGACTGTCTTTCTACACATTTCATGAATATCTCTTAAATCTCTATGAAGGTCAAGACGAAGGACATGTTTCGTTGAGATAAAACCTCTCGGAACCAAACGAGTCAGACATATAATTCGAGTAAACGCTCACCAGCAACACCGTGAAGGTGTTTCGGGCCCCGATTAACGATTTTACAAACATACTGAACGACCTACTGACCTCAGCGACGGAGTCGGCTGTCACGATAATTAACCAAACCCGGTGAAAAAGAACCTCAGCCATACGTTCATTATTAATGCAAAGACTTAATGTTTTTAATTTCTTTGCATCCCAAGAGTCTTTTTAGTTTCATAACTGGGGACAAAATACTGCTGAAGGAAAGTGAAATTCAACCAACAAGGTGTCTGGATGATTCGTTTCCCTGTAACCTCAGGTTCCCATCAGCGAAGCAAAGTGGACCCCGAGATGTGGCTTCTGCTTCCATCTGCCTCCCCCCCCTTTCTAATTTCTCTCTTTTCTTATGAGTACACACGGACTTATTTTTCTCAGGTCCTTTCCGGGGTCACTTCACATGCAGTGTTTAAAACTCCAAAGCTACAGTGCTTGGCAGTTCATAATTCACAAACATAACGGCGTATCGAAGGTAACGTCGGGCGCTAAGCGCATTTACGTGGAGAGCTGTGTGCCGCTCACAGTCTCCTGGGCGCACAGCGGCGTCTGTCTCCTGCAGGAGTCTGTTGGAAACACAGAGTCCAGGTTGCATCCCAGACCTCAGGAATCAGATCTGCACTTAAAAAAAAAATTATTAAAAATGCTGGCTCTGGGACCCACCACAAACCTTCTGAGACACCATTTCTTAGGTTGGGACCCAGGAACCTGCATTTTTTTAAAAATTGTATTTTAGAGAGAGAGGAAGGAAGAGGGAGAGAGAAAAATTGATGTGAGGGCGAAACATCCGTTGGTCGTCTTCCACGCGCCCGCCGACTGGGGACCAAACCTGCCACCCGGGCGTGTGCCCTGGATGGGAACCGAACCGGCATCGGGCACGGAAGGAGGAGCGCAGGCGGGTCAGTGCTCGTTGGCTCCTAATGAGCGTTCTGAAGGGACAGGACCCTGCGTGTGCGTATGTGGGAAGGAGCCGGGTTCTACGAGCATTATCTGATAGCCCTTGATCACTGCGCTGGTTCACAGAAGATGCCCACGCCTGTTCGTACCTGTAGTTGGCAGAACAGTAGGCCCTGGGCTACATGCAAACCCTGACCCAGGAAACCCGAGGCTCTGTCAAGCTCCACAGCACAGGGGAAGCAGGCTGGTGTTAAGAGCCAAAGATGATCCTAGACTGGGTGGGTCATGGGACCCAAAGCAACAAGGCACTGTGAGGACTCAGCTCCCCTGCGTTGACTGTGGCAATGGAAGAAAGGGCCCCGAGGGCGGGAGAAGCACCTAGAAGCTGGAAAAGATGAGACGGCATCTCCCAAGAAGCCCCAGAAAGAAACATGGTCCTGTCGACCCCGACTTCTGCCCAGCGAGACCTGGGTTGGGCGTCTGACCCACAGGACTCTAAGATACTAAATTTGAATTATTTCATAAGCCACTAAGTGGATGGTAATTAGTTACAGCAGCAACAGAAAACTAACACTGCGCCGTTTCCTCTGCTTGAGTGTGGGCCGGACTCGGAGACTCGCTTCTAATGACCACGGTGCGCGGAAACGGGACGTCGCTTTCCGGATCAGGTTGTCAAAAGACTGGGTCTCACATGAGTTCTCGGGTGAATTCTCACATCCTCTTGGATTTGCCCCTCCCTCCAAGGGAGCCGCTGACACGCCCTCAGTCACCCTGTGGACAGGCCACATGGCGAGGCCTCGAGCCCCACCAGCAACCACGTGGGCGACTTGAAACCCTTACACGATTGTGTCCCCAACTGCCACCTTGATGGCATCCGCGCAGCAGACTCTAAGCCAGACCTCACCCAGGTAAGCAAGCGTAGACCCCAACCCACAGAGCTGGTGAAATAACACCTGTGGTTATTTTAGGCCATGACGTTTTGCGATACCTTGTGTAGCAACAGGTAAGTAACACGATTACTCTAGATTTTATTTACCTACCAAACGAGAGAAGAGCCAGAGGGGGAAACGATCATCAGGAGGCCCCTGCGCACCAGCTCGGAGGTGACTGCGCACGTCCCGCTGGAAGTTATGGGAGAATCTTCCCAATGTGCACCCATAAAAGCTGACACGCCTATAAATACAGTCAGCTTTTATTCAGGTTATAAATGGAACGAAAACCTCAATGTCGAGAACAAAATTTCTCAAAGCACGCAGCCTTACTAAGAACACGCTCATCCACTTTTACACGTATTTTAATGGCTCAGAGCCGTCACAAGCACTGCGAGTCAACAAAGGCAATTAACCTCTAATTTCCTCTGTTCTTTCTTCTCCTACATTTTTGCTTTTGCCGTGAGGTCTGTGCTTAGCGGAACGAAGCCTGCCATAAACTGAGATTAATTAATGGGCTTTCTACTTTGCCACACAGAACAGTCTCTAGACTGCAATGTGCAAAGTCGAATGAACTTTTATATGTGTACATATTTGCATATCT